CAGCCCCCTCAGCCACTCCAAGCCCACAGCCTACCCATCATCCCTCCCCTACTCTGCATGCCCTCTCCTTGTCTCTATCTCCCCACCCGTCCTTACAGATGCTTTTAAGACTTTCTGCAGGTGGCTCCCTCACTCTCTCCTGCTACACATGTAGCTCTTCCTTGCTCCCTTCTGAAAGAGAAGGCTTTTCCAAGTCCATGGTCACGACTGTCCTTTCTCCCTGTCTCTGCTGTGCTGAGTCTCCCACAGCAATGGAAGGTACCAGTTAGTGAGAGCAGAACACCTCCTATGCCTTTCTTTCCCTAATTCCCATAACAGCCCTATACAGTGGACAGCTCACAATCACATCGGTGGTCAGAAGACTTCTAATAGGAACCTCCAGATCGTTAGAATGTAGCAAGCGCTGCTTATCTACTTAGTCTTAACCCTGTTCTTTTACTGTTAGCTTCTGTCTTTTGGTTTTTGACTTGAGGTTTTACAGAGCCTAGGCTGGCTTTGAATTTGTTATATAGCTGAGGATGACCTTGAACCCCTAATCCTCCTGCCTCCGCCTCTTAAGTGCTCACACTGTGACAGGTCCAAGATCTGAGGCCCAGGACCCAGAGTTCCAAGGGGACTGGGAAATTTAAAAAGATGTAAGAAGCAGGAGGCCTCAAGGACATATTTAAGTAAAACTACACAAAAGAGACCTTTTCAAAAAATGGTTGTGTGAGGAGTTCACATAATAGTTACATTTGTTGCTAAGCCGTTGTTCACCAGACATCTGGTGTCTGCAATCCTAGTTCATTTGTTACATATAGCCACACTGGAGCCATGTTGTCTAAGCCTTTATCTGACCCACACAGCCCTTATCCCTTCACGCCACCACACCTGACTTAAATCTATTAACTTCCACTTTTCCTTCTTTTTCCCCTTCCCTCCTTCCTTCTAGGAATAGAGGTTGAAACAATCCTCCTGCCTCAGCTGCCCGAGTAAGGGAATGACAGGCGTGTGTATGACACCACACCCGGGAAACCCAGGCTCTTCTGGGTCGCATCTGTTTTTAAAACAGATGTTTTAAAACATATTTAATCCTAACATGCAGCAGATGAACAAATAAGTCATAACCCACCCTTTACCAGGTCTCTCAGAACTATTGGGGTCTTAGAGAAACTGAGTGAGGAAAAGTATGTACCAGGTCGTGATGGCACAAGACTTTAATCCCAGCGCTTGGAAGGCAGAAGCAGGCTGATCTCTGTGAGTTCAAAGACAGCCTAGTCTACATAGTGAGTTCCAGGACAGTCAAGGCTACACGAAAATAACTAAATAAACAAAAATATAAAAGTAAAGTTAAAAAGAAAAAAAGGCTATCTGGAGATTTTTAAAGTTTTGGCTTAACTTGATGCTTAGTCTAAAGACATGGCCCCCAAGTTCCATGACACAGGAAGTCCTTGTAGAAAACCGCCCTGTTTTCTGGATTCCCCAAAGACTGTACTCTGGTGCTGCCTAAGTGTCGGGAATCTTACTGTGGCTCTGTCAGTCCAAGCAAGAACCTTGAACGTGCTAGGCAAGCTTCATGCTCCAGCCAGTGTCAGGAATCGTATGGTGGGAACAACGGAGAATTCATTAGGATACATTCAAGCCTTGCTCTAACCAAATAGCCTCGATTTCTCAGACAGTTCAGGGGTAGGGAGCAAACTGAAACTAAGAAACACTCTAGCTATTTCTAAAGAAGAAATGATGCAGCCTCTCCCATCAAGTAAGTTGCCAACTGCCTACTCAAGGATGCTCAGCCCCTTTAAGAATATCTACAGAGCACTCTCAAGTCCATGTAAATACGACACAGCGCAGGGAAGGGGAGGTGCTGAGGGGGCCTGAGGTTTAAAAGGAGTGCTCAGAATTGAGTAGAAGCCTTCAGGGAAGCTTTCCTCGACGTGGCAACCACCAGAGTTTCTAAAAATCAAAAATAATTCTTTTCTTGGTACAAATGCAATGCATGCATGCTCATGACAAAACAAATCAGGAAATACAGACAGTAAAGAAAGAAAAGTGAAAGAAGTGCCCACCTACCATTTGCCCACCCAAAGATAGCTTCTGTCAACACTCTCAGCATCCTAACAAGCAGGATGTGTCGGAGCAATGTGCAGAGGGATCAGACAGGTGTGTGTTTGGATCCCGTATCCAGTGGGGGTTCCACAGTAAGTAGCGAATGTTCTAAACGATCTGGATTGGGTTGGGATGTAGACGGTTTCAGGTGAAGACTGAGAGAAGAACTTCCAGGTCAGGCAGAAAAATCAGAGCAGGTGGCAGCAGCATGGATCCGGCTGACTGGTGGCATGATTGAAATAATCACAGTAGCAATAGCAGTGGACATGTGTGCTCACCACGTGTAAGACATTACACTAAGGACTCCACATTCCGTCTTTACATCTGACCGTCACAACCGCCTTACAGAACTCTGACCTTACACAGTAAGAGTGTTCCAAACCAATACATTGATGTGTAGGGGGTGTTCTTTAAAACTTCAGCCTTTGAAGGCTGGGAATCAGATGGCTGCATAGATCAACCCTCATTAGTAAAGCTATCTGGACAATGTGCAGAGTGGGAGACTTTGGTGCACTCAGTCCTCAGTGGGATTCTCCATTAAAGACCCCCTCAAAGCTCAGGGATCTATGCAGAAGAGGAGGTGAAGGACCCCAAATATTGAGTGTCTTCCAGACATAGCAGGACTGATACACACATGAGCTCACAGTGGCCATGACAGCACACACGAGGCCTTCACAGGTTCAAACCAGACAGCATCCCAGCCCTGAGAAGGGGAAGTGGACACAAAGTCCCACCCCTAACCTAGAAGCTATTTGAATCAATACCTACTGGGAAAGGGAAACTCAGTTTTCTCCAACTGTGAGTCGCTGGGTGTATCAACTGCAGTCCAGGGCAGGCCCCGTACTTGGGAGTAGTTGGCCAACACCAAATGAACGCTACGATTTTTTTGTGTACTCTTTGGTTTGTTTTGATGTCATTTCATCTTATTAATTTTTTTGTTATTTGTTTTTAATTTTGGTTTTATTGTTTTATTATTTTGATGCTTTTTATTTTTAGAGCAAGCAAGAAAACATGAAGTTATGTGGGTAGGGAGGTAGAAAGAGATCTGGAAGGAATGAGGGGGGATATGATCAAAATACATTACATGAAAAAAGTTAAGAATTTTTTAAATTTAGTCTTTGACCAGTGTACATTGTATATGTAAAATTCTCAACAAATTAATAGAAAGATTGTATTTAAATTACTTTTAAAAATCAGGGGCAATGGAGATGTCTTGGGTGGTTACGAGTACATACTGCTCTTGCAGAGGGCTAGAGTTTAGGTCCTGGCATTCAAGCTGAGTGGATCCCAACAGCCTCAAGCTCCCAGGGCTCTAACGCTACCAGCTAATGAGGAAGGCCTGGTTCAGGCTTAGAGCTCAAGTCATGTAACCTAGCAGGACAGAAAGAAGAGGAAACTTACGGGGACTTGGGGAGTAAGGGAGCCCTCACCGTGGAGTCTGGCTAAAGCCTCTTGTTGGTTGAGAATCAGGATTTCATTGTAGTAATGTTTGCTTAAGGCCTTTTCCTCTCCCCAGCTGTAAGCCTGCAATTTTCTGGAATTCTCACCAGCAATCCATTTACGGTAAAAGGACACATCTTAACCCCTTTTGCAAACCTGGTGGCTCGAGGTTTTATCTTTCATCTGACTGTAATCCCATCTGGCACCTCCAGAGTTAGCCTATAATCTCAATTATCAAAAAAAAAAAATGGAGTAGAGATAAAGGAAGGGAGGGTCCTTTAGAAACCCACTGAACAAGGAAATTTCAAAAGCTTCCAAAATCCCGTATGCACTAGGACACCAAAGCGTGACTGTCCCTTGAGGAGCCCATACCCACACTTGGTTTCTTCAAGTCCACCTCCCTCTGTTGCCCCCTGGTTTAAGATCTACATTTAAAATATCTTTTACTAAAACTCCGCCTGGGGCTAGAGAGATGGCTCAGTGGTCAGGAGTGCTTGCTGAACAAACACAGAACCCGAGATTGGATCCCAGCACCCACCAAAAGCAAGGCATGGTTCTGTCACCCCCCCGCACCGAGGAGAATGAACACTGGAGGATCCCTGGGGCTACATAACATACCTGTAGTAGGTATAGTGGTGTAAGTTTTTATTTCCAGCTACAAGGGGGGGCTAATGTTGGAGACCCCCCCTCATCTGAGAGTGGGGGGGAATACAGAGGCTGCCTTCTGAGCAGCCCACAGTCCCAGTCCTCTTCAAAAACGCTCTGTGGATGACAGTTGATGGGTGTGAGCAAAGCCCAGGCCAGTGTCTGAGTCCCGTGAGCTCTACAAGGGTTCATTGTCCTTGGGTTAATAATCTCACAGCCCAACAGGCTGGAAAGAGCAGCAGTCAGCAGGATGGGTCCAGAAAGCTGGCCTCGGAGGCTGCAGCAGCAAGATAAAGCAGGTAAATCATCCCCAAGGACCTGGGGAACAATAAAAATTAAAGGGAAGACCTGAGGCTTAGGTGTTAAAGTAAAGCTAAGAGTAAAACATGCTGGGACCGCATCTACACAAGTGGCCTTAGCCAGTGTCCTGGGTCCCTCGGAACCTGGCTATATCTATAGGCTGCAAGTCAGCTGTAACAATCTCCAAGGACCTTTCAGCTCCAGGTGGGGAACCATAAAAATCCAAGCTGTATGGACATCTGCTGCGCTGATTTAACGGAGAGGACAGGCCAGAAAATCCAGTGTCATGGGGACGTGGCGGCAGACGCAGGCCACAGCTGTAAGGAGGGTGACCCACAGAGAAGGATGGGTGGACAAGTGCTGCTGTAGCCCTGTGTGGCAGCCAGGGCCTCCCCCCATCAGGACAACCAGAGACCGGTCACAGACACGATTCCATCTCATCACTCCCAACACTAATGAAGAGTTCACAGTGACCCCATGACCACGAGAGACAACCGAGACCTGAGTACAAGAGACAACGAAGACAATGCTTATGTAAAAGGAAGGACGTTTTTCTTAGCAACACCTAGTACTGAAGTTAGGAAAAGAGCCAGCCGTGTCCCAAGCCTTTGGGCTTCCTGGAAAGTTGTATAGAACGACACCTTCTCTCTCTCTCTCTTTGTCACACGATTGTTGGTTGGCTGGCTGCTGCCCAGCACAGAGCCAGCTCTCTCACGGGACTGAGTTCGCCTAGGTCATCTCTGAGGTACCTGTGACAAAAACCATGTATTGCATTTTTTTTTCTGTATTTTTCCATTGCTTCCTCTCTCCAAGGCTTCTAAATGGGTTCCCCCTACCCTTAGGAATTCTTTCAAGACAGGAAGTAGAAGCTGCTTAAAGATAATAGAGCTTCCTGTCATTGGCACCAACAGACCCAGAGGAAGAAGGGGGCAGGTGGTAGAGAGAGGGGACCTGGAAGGAGACTACTCAGAGGCCAGACCACCACAAAGAGACACTGACCTTGCTAAGAATCGGGTCTCAGGAGACAGGAAGTATTTGCCATCCGGCTTTCCACCTCACCGAAGACCCCTGGGTACAGAAACAGCAAGATCACCAAGTTGGAAAGAATCTGAGGCAGCAAAGGCAATGTTACTGTGGCCCTTGACCGATGCCGAAGGACACCCCATACTTGCAACAGGTTAATAATAATCTGTCCGCTAAACAGGTTTGACAGTGTGATGTGGGGGTGTAGCTCAGCTGGTAAAGGTCTTGTTTAGCATACACAAAGGTCTGGTTTTGATCGCCAGCATAAAACTGAGTATGGTCGTACATGCTTACGACCCTATCACTTAGGAGGTAAAGGATCAGAAGTTCAGTATCATTCTTGGCTAGATAGCAGCTTCAAGCTCAACCTGGGGAACATAAGACCCTGCTCCCCCAACACAGATAAATAAATAAATATAAGCAAACCAACAAGATTGAGGCTTGGAACCAGTTTTACTTTGATTTTAAAAAAAAAAAAAACAAGAACAAAAAAAATCCAAACAAAAATGTAGAAATTCAATATTGATGACTCAAAACCGGGCATGAGTAGCCCACGCTTATAATTCTAGCGCTGGGAAGCCTGGGCCAGAGTAACCACCATTACTTCTAGGCCAGCCTGGGTTTCATAGGGAGTGCCAGCCAAACCTGAGACACAGCATGTGACCCTGTCTCAAAAAAAAAAAAATTATGACAATAAAATAATTTTTAAAGTCACTGGTTTCTAGGGATTTCTGGGTGTGAGTCATCGCTGACGTGTGCAGACAAATGAATAACTCCATTGTCTTGGCTGCACCAGCTTGCCAAGGCGCCAGGTGTATCTCCTTGACTCTCAAATCATATTAGCACTAAACTCCTAGCAACTGGCTCTGGAAACCCAGTCCCCAATTCTGTTGATTAGGATGCTTTAGTCATAAGTATGCAAAATCCAGGTTCAAACACAGTCAGGCCTGCATGTCTCCTCAGCAGGACGTCCAGAGATGGGAGGTCCAGGTGTGAAAGCAAGGACTGGAGATACTTAGAAAACAGCATTAGGAAGGGCCTTGTCTTGGCTCTGCAGTGTCCAAGGTCTCTCTGACCTCCCCTTCTACCAGCTCTTTGGCCCTCTTTCCCTGAAGTTCCCCTTCTCTGACTTACAAATGAAATGAAGTTTCGTTAAATCCCCCTCCCTGGGAATCTCATTAAATAACCAGGAAAGATTATCCACTTGAGAAAAAAAACCTATAAATTGTCACCAAGACCCAGACAGACGCCTCATCTATTCTGAGAGCGGCTGACAGATTGGGGGTTGAGAGTGGGCTTTATTTGCATAATAAGATCACCTTTGTTCACTGTGCAGTTCCACCCTTACCTTCCGTAGCTCGTCCACAAGCTGTTCTGTCTCCCAGATCCACTCAGCTTCCAGAAACCACTTACGAAACACTCCGGTCTGTTCCATCCATTTCCCTGTTGCTCCGTCCCCTGTGGAAAAGCATCAAAAAGCCTCTAAACCTCGTTGGGATAATGAGTCATTACTCTCCCTTGATTTCCCTCCTATGTGTTAAATGTATTTGCTATGGTTTTTCTCCTGTGACTCTCCCTCCTGTCGGTTACTCCAGTGACATTTCAGGGGTGAACAGAAACTCCTCTTTCACCCCAGCATTTTCACCTCTCTGTTGTCCTCAGGATGCTGATTTTGTACTCCAGATGCTTCCCCCCCCCCCCCGTTGTAAAAAAGATGTCTCCCCGAAACACAATGAGGTCAGGGGAAGAAAAAGCCGTAAACTACGGACTCAAAACAATGGAGTTCAAAGAATAAAAATTTCCCCAGGAACCCCACTGTGGGTAAGCAAAGGTCAAGCCATGGTAGAATGGGGTTGAGCAGGCATAGGTGGGAGGTTAAATGGGATGGATACAGAGCTCAGGCGAACACAGCTGGGGCGTGGAGAGGGCTATGGTGGAGCCACCATGAGCCAGTGCCTTCTAGGTCCTCCTTACAAACATAGAGAACGCATTTCACAGGCAACAGGGCAGTGAGTTTTAGAAAGGAGTTTTATTGCAGAAGAGATATGAAAAGAAAGAAGAAACTGACACAGGAGGGGCCCTCAGTGGGTTGCCATGAAGGGTCTTTTTTTTTTAAAGGGACTAATATAATAAGGCTCTACTGGGCAAAATAAGGCGAGGTGGATTGGTCAGTCTAACTGGCCCTACCACAGATCCCCCACGTGTGGACACGCACCTCCACCTCCATCCCAGTAGCTGAACTATAGATTCAGTCCACACCTTCACGGGCCAGCTAAGAGGCTGATCACACCTGGCTTCCAGGCTTCTCTGTTCATTAGGATGCTTACATAAAAAGAAAAGCGAGATAAAAACACGAAACCGGAACACAAACCGGTTCCCCTCAGCATTTCTGGCCTCTGGCCAGGACACGGCTGTGACAAAAACCGAGAACATCCCTGGCTTTGGGCCAGGACAGACTGTCAGTTTTCTATGCCCCTTGAACCAGAGGAAGAGCTGGCCTCCCAGGGGGGATTTCATACATTTTTGGCAGTTACAAAAGTCATCTCTCAACTTTGTTAACGTATGCATAGCTCACTTCCTCCTCTTGTGCTAAACCCTTTCTATAAAGTTGGGGCACTCTCTAGGCAAGCGGGAGAGGAACAAATCCCGCCCTGGTTTGGCCAAACTGGAAATTAATCCACTTGCCCCTTATCAGCTTCTAGTTTCTGGATTCTTTTGGAATGTAGAAACAGCGGGTTCATGCCGGGTCTGGTTCCAGGCTCTCTTCTGGTGGCTTCCCGTTGAAACTTGGAAACTTCCAGAAGCACTCTTCTTCATGTCTCACTGGCCAAATTTGGGTCCACCCCATTCCCAGCTTTCCCTCAAGTCAGCTACGGTGACCTGATCTCCTTGACTTGAGGAAAGCTGGAACCAAGCACACTAAACACTGTCCACCTTCCCTCCCAGTGCAGCCCTGGTCACTGTAAGGTCACAGACACTGCTTTCCCCATGACTCAGCTTGACTGGCTTCTTCTTGGATGTTGAGTTCAATCTTGTGGATGCTGACACCCACTTTTTAGGCTCACATATGCACCTGTTCATGAACAGCAAATATAAATGCAATGCAAAGTCTTTGCCCAGACCCACCCTCCAATGCATCCAGTGGACCCCACCAAACCCCATCAGCTGGCCATTTCCCTCGTTCTGGAATGCTTAGGTATTCTAGGTGTGCTCAGCAGTCGGGAAAATCCCTACGTCAGTTCCCCAGTCTGTGGAGTGGCACAAATATCACTTACAAGACAAGTGTAAACGTGTAAAAGGTTAGGAAGTTCAAGATGGAGTATTCATAGCCAAGAGCCCTGCTGCTGCTGGGTAGAGCCTCAAGGTGGACTAATTCACTAGTCCTCTCAATGAACTCTCTCTCTCTCTTTCTCTTTCTCTCTCTCTTTCTCTCTCTCTTTCTCTCTGTCTCTCTCCTACCCCATTGTGTTTTAGCATAGATGTGGGTATTGCAGAGAGCACAGCCAGGGCCACGGACACAGTAGCCAAGTGTTCTACCACTGTACTACCTTGTCTTCTAGACAACAGTCCCCTTGGATTGAAGACGGTGTTAGTTCCTTTCCTGATACTGTGACAAAATGCCATAACCAAGATAACTTTTTTTAAAAAAGTATTTAATTGGCCTTATGAAGCAAAAGCACGGCAGCAGGAATATCTGAGGGCTCACATCTTCATCTACAAGTAGGAGGTTAAAAGAGAACGCTAGTAATGGCATGGGTCTTTTGAAACCTCAAAGCCCACGCCCAGTGACACACTGAAGGCCACGTCTCCTAATCCTTCCCAAACAACTCCGCCAGCTGCAGACCATGCATTCAAACAAACGAACCTGTGGAGACTGTAGGAGCCAGCCATGATAAGCTAAATATGAACAGATCACCCAAAGGAAGTTATTTACTTCCAACTATTATCAGCTGCCAGAGTAGGACTCAGCCATCAGTAAATTTAATAAAAGACTGAGTCTCAGTAGTTTACCCTGAAGCAATACCCGGTTGCAGGAAGGACCATAAACCAAGATTAGCTGAGCACCACCCAAGAACAGGCCTGATCCATAGATGGTCGCACAACACCCATGTACTACCTGCAGAGTGGTACCTACAGTACCACTCTGGGATACCCCAAAAGGACTGAAGAAAATCTTCCCAGTGGGCGGAGCTTACAGAAGTCTGCCTGATTGTTCAGTTTGTTTTAAAAGGGAAGCTATATCCAGAATCATTGTCTGTTACCCATCATTTATTTGGTAGAATGGCCATGGACTTGGGAAGAACAGAACTGGAAAACTGGTGTCAGGGAAACATGAGTAGCGATTGTAGACAGAGCTCTCTTGTGGACACAAGACATAAAGATATTCACAAATATCTTTATAAGGTCACCAAAGGGTGACCTTAGCAATGGAGGGTTTTAGTAGTAAAGGACTTGAAAGACAATACTGCTCAGCCCTGAAATAGTCACACAGAAACTGTATTTATTAAATCATTGCTTGGCCCATTAGCTCTAACTTCTTATTTACTAACTCTTACATCTTAGTTTAACCCATTTCTATTAGTCTGTATATCGCCACGTAGCTGTGGTTTACCAGCTAAAGTTCCCAGCATCTGTCTCTGGTGGCTCCATTGCTTCTCTCTGACTCCACCTTCCTCCTCTCATGCTATAAGCCAAGCCAGTTCTTTATTCATTAACAAATAAAAGCAACACATAGACAGAAGGACCTCCCACACCAAGAAAAGTCTATATGTTCCATCTCATGGTGCTGTCTCCTTAAGAAGATTCAAAGGTCCAGAAGCCGTGGAGTGTAGATGTGAGTGGTGCCACTCAATAATGTGACTCGTGAGCAAAATTTTAGGTTCCTATACCATGATACTCTGCTCTGCTGGCCCAGCAGTCTTAGCTACCTCTGCCAGGAGACATAACAATGACTGCCCTGAAATGGAAGTAAAGACTGGCCCTGTCTACTTGGGGTTCATTATGCTCATGATTCAAAAGCAAAGAAACATTAGTTCCTGGGGTGGCTGGGGTGGTTGATGCTCATTACTAAAAGGAAATGGGATTCCTTCTCTACATTGGAATAAGGAAACACATACACACATACAACGTTGAGAGAGAATGTGTGTTTGCACACCTATGAGTGTACACAATCCTTTTGGCATGCTCTGTGATGAAGGTCAGCAGAAAATTGTAACACAATGAAGCCAGAAAGTGAATGATTCAGACCTCCAGAAATCCAAGTCTGGGAAACTCAACCAGGGAAAGAATGGGGACAAAATCGAGACTGTTGTTGAAGGACCGAAAAATACAGACTAGGAAACTGGAGAAGCTGAACAAAACCATGTGACCAGCTATACAAATAATGGCTGCAATTACCCTAGATATTTTCTCTGTTTTTTTATTAAGATACATGTGTAGAGAGATGATAGATGGTAAATTATCTTCCTTTTAACCTATACACTAAATCCATCTCTCTTTTCCTCTACCTTCCCCTCACCATGTAGCACCATGCATTGACTTTATATCACAGTATTTACACATTGTTAATTTTATGTCACAATATTTAACTTACAGAATATCAGAGAGAGTAAATATCCCACAAGGAGTTTAGTTCCTCCTCTGGGGAAGGAAGATTACTAGTTTTTTGTTTGTTTGTTTTGTGCAGGATAGTTATATGATGTTAGCAAAAATTATAACCCTGTTATCATTTTTATTTGAAGATTAAGTATCATTTAAGATCAATTTGGGTATCAAGTTGACAAAGAGTGGGCCAGTGGTAACTGATTTTATGTGTCTTTCTCCAGGGTCAGGAAGTGATGAAATAGTTGGCTAAACATTGTCCTGAGCATGCCTTTGACGTGTTTCTGGATGATGTTATTATTTGAACTATAAGGATGAGCCCAACATTTTGCAGTCTCCAATGTGAGTGGACCTCAGCCAAACAACTAAAAACTTAAATAGAGCAAAAGGTCATGGATTTTTGTTTTCTCAGCCAGCCTCTCTTCCAGCTAGGACATTGATCTTCTCTGTGTGTAACTCAGACTGGAACTACACTCAGTTCTCCAGAGTCTTCCAGCTCACCAACTGCTGATATCAGGATTTGCCATCCTCCATAATCATGTGAATCAATTCCTTATTTAAAAATCTTATCTAGAGATATAAAGAAGATATATATAGAGAGGCCTATAGATTGATGGCTTCAGTTCTGTTTTTCTGGAAAACTTTGACCAATACAGACAATTGACTAGTTAAGCTGCGGAGCCAGGAACACATTTCCACAAGGCTTTTTGTGGATATATTGGTTCCTTTCCTTTTTTATTTTTTTTCTCTTGGACAATACCTAGACATTGAGTTGCTGGCCACAGAGGGTGTACACATCTAACTATGAGAAGCTGTCAGACTGCCTTCCAAAATCATGTGTGAGAGTTTCAGTGGCTTCCCATCCTCATCATGTGGTGTCATATGTAACTTACATTTAGCTATTTCAACTCATGCATAATCATTTTAATGAGCATTTCCCTGCTGAAATAATGGAGGCTATTTTTCCATACACTTCCTGGTTTGCTGAGACCATGCTGGTGGCTCAGCACTCCCCGCCTGGACAGGCAGCACCAACAGGTCTGCTAGGTGTGAACAGGCAGGAGATCATGGCAGGTTCCACTTTTACTCAGATAAAAAGGGTTTATATGCTGCATGGTGCTTCCCAGAGTTGAGGTGGTCAGGATAGCTTCCACTGAGCAGTCTCAGAGGCAGTAAACATGCTTCCTCCATGTTGGACTGGTTGGAGCCAACAGACAGGGCCTTTGTTGGCCCTAGTCTCACTCATTTAGCAAAAACAAACAAACAAAAAAAAAACAAGAAAAACATTTCTGGTCAGAAAATAATTACAAATACGTAATAAAGACAGATTCAGATAAAAGAAACCTCTAAATGGGTCACAATGTTGAATAAATGTACGTAAGTTTGAGAGAGAGAAGAAAAAGAGTATAAAGAGTTATAAAATGAAGTAAATCATTTTAAAAATTAATAATAAAACAAATTCTTTAAAGAGACAGAGTACAAACAGTCATAGATTAAAAGGAGTAAAGAAAAATAAGCCATGTGAAGATGGAATATACACAGAGAATCAGGATTAGGTATATTATTGTGTTTTCTTTGAATTTTTTGACTGTGAAAGAGCTAAATGCAGAGAGACATTTTATTGTATGGGCTACTAAGCTAAACCAACCTATATGTTTTAAAGATATCTTGATTTCCAAATTTGGGTCTAAGGATTTGTTGCTTTGGGAAAGAAGTTCTGCTATTCTTTCCACAGAAGATGAGAACCTGTGGATTTCTTTCAGGCTAATGTGATTTGATGGACCAAGACCACCCGAAAGGTCTCCATGAAAACCCCCAAAAATTACTTCACCCAACAAAAAGCAGGAAGCAGTTTAGAGAGAACTATGTCCAAATTCCCTAGATGATTGTTTATAAATGTTTATTTACATTTAAAGGGGGATCTAGAGATGAATACTTTGCATTAGTGTGAATCTTGGTTTATTGATAGAAATTTAAGGTCAATTTTGCTTTACACACACACACATATGCTCTTGATTAAAGTATTGTGTTTATGCAACTTACTTCAAAATGTAATGTATAATTAAGAAATATAGGTTAATAGATACTCATCTATAATAATTAAGCTTGTAGTCATGTTAGTTAGGTTATCTAGATGTACAGAGATATATTTCAGATGGATAAGGATTCTTCAAATCTTTCAAAGACTACAGAATATAGCATTTAAAATGTTTTAAGAACTTAGGACTTTTCATGACAATGAAACTCATCTGCTCTTGGCAGCACCAATCTAATTCAAGAGGATTATAAACATTGAAGAAGCTCCTTATGAAGTTTGCTAGTCATTTGGGCAAGAAATTGTTCTTGCCTGACTGTTTAACTGAGCATGCAGTACCCACAGAGAAATGACTGCTAAACTTACCTGAAGGTGAGAACATCCTTCAGGGTTACTGCTTCATGAAAGAGTCTGCCAGACATTCTGCAGGACACAGAAACAAGTAACTGACAAACTGCCAATATAGGTGGAACTGTCCTTGAAATTTCCTGCTTCATGGAAAAGTCTGCTGGATATTATGGGTCTGTAGGCTAAAGATGGGAGCCCCAATGGTACAGAAGAACTTTGGGTGACTGTCCAGGCAGCAAGATGTCTCTGTCAATTCTAGAGTTTTGGAAGTAGCTTACAATGCACTTCTGTTAACTTAAGTATTATTATATGCTTCTGGAGTCTTTGATGGAGTTGAAGAATACATAGTTATAGTTAAAGTTTTCCTTAGTTATGATAAAAGATAAAGTAGATATAAATATTATAACTGTAATTCTTGATTGATACCTGATTTGTATATGTAAATTTACTATGTTAAAATCAAAACCTTCCTTTTCATTTAAACAGAAAAGGGGAGGTGATGTGGGATTCCCATCTGTATGTTGTGATTAGCATTGATTAGCAAGGCATAACTTTGCTTGGCAGGGAAAACTAAGCTGAATACTGGGAGAAAGAAGGCAGAGATAGTGAGATGCCATGAAGTTGCCTGAGGAAAAAGACATGAGCCACCAGCTGGAACTTTGCTGGTTAGTCACAAACCTCATGGTAAAATATAAACTAATGAAAATGGGTGAATTCTAAATATAAGAATATACTTAAGTGCTTGGCCAAGCAGTGATTTAATTAATACAGTTTCTGTGTGATTATTTCGGGAGTCTGAGTGGCTAGGAAATGAACAAGCAGCCTCCTCCTACCACAACTTCACATATTGTCCTTTGTGAAGTGTTTGCTAGTGTAAACTGTGCTGCTCTTGTCCTTACTCAGCTATGGGCTTTCTTTCTATTTTACTGTTGTTTGGTTTTTTGGTTTCTTGAGACAGGGTTTCTCTGGGTAGCCATTCTGGCTGTACTGGAACTTGCTCTGTAGTGATTACATCTTTAAATGGCAAGCAGTTCCTCCCCTGCTGTGATTTGCCTATTCGTTTTCTTAAAAGTGCACAAACTTTTGACTTTGATGAAATCCAATTTGTTGCACTTTAAAAGCTGTTGTTTTCTGTAACCTATGGGGGGAAAACCACCACCAACTCTGAGGTGATCAAGATGTTCTCCTGTTTTCTTCTAGTACTCCCATTTCAGCCCAGGGTTGATCTCAGATCAGTTTCAGTCAGTGGTGAGGGTAAAGAGTAAAGGCTCATTTCCTAAAGATTTATCTTATTCGTCTGGGTGCCTGCCTGTCTGTGCATACATGTATATTGGCCTGTGGGTATACAAACGTGTGTACACATTCATGTGCCTGAGTACATGCTTACATGTGTATGGGTGTCTGTGTATGGGTGTGTGTGTGTGTGTGTGTGTGTGTGTGTGTGTGCAGGTATGCATACCTGTGCATGTGCAGAAGCCAGCATGTTGTTGTCAGATCCCAGAAAACATATGAGAGGCAAACATATATAGAGGCATATGTGTTTGTGTGGGTTCTGGGATTTGAACTCTGGTCCTTAAAGTTGTACATCAAGCATTCTTCACAGGTCAGACATCTCTCCAGCCCCTTCAAACTCACTTTTTAAAATAGAAAAATGCACCAAGCCAGCAACCTCCACAGGAGCAGGCCTGAACCAGCAATCTCTGCCAGAGCAAGCCTGAGGCTGTGACCTCCATAGGAGCAGCTACAAGGGAATGACCTCTGAGGGAACAGGCCTGAGCCAGAGACCTTTTATAGGACAAGGCCCACGTCAGGGACCTCTGCAAGAGAAGACCCCAGACCAGGGACATCTACGGAAACAAGCCGAGCCAGTAATCTCCACCAGAGCAGGCTTGAGCCAGTGACCTCTGCAGGACCAGGCATGATCAGTGACCTCTGAGGTAGCAGGCCTGAGTCAGCAACCTCCACTGGAGCAGTCCCGAACCAGCGACCCCCACCAGAGCAGACCTGAAACAATAACCTCTGCCAGAGCAGGCACAAATCACACACACACACACACACACACACACACACACACACACACACACACACACACACACTGAGTCTGGTGAGTAACTGAGTTCTATCTAGACCTCCTACACATCTCTGGCCCATATACTCTTCTCCACACCCAGTACTGTATCTGTAACCAGGGCCAGTTTCTCTCTCTTGGCTTCATCAATTTGGAGGACATCATGATGAGGCACCCCTTTCAAATCTAAGCCTGCTTTCCCAACATCAGGGTAGATACTCGTCCTTTCAGGGTTTTATTTTTTGTAATCATTTCCCATAAAGAACACAAAACATGCAACGAAATTTGGATAAAGATGTGATCCTTTCTTTACTATCAAAACATGAGAAACAACCCAGGTGTTTATCAGAAGAGAATTGGGTGCTAGGTACGGTGGCCTGCCTGCCTGCCTGCAATTCCAGCCCCCAGAAGGTGAAAGCAGGGAGATCAGGAGTTCAAAGCCAGCTTTGGCTACAAGAGACACCCCCCCCACAAAAGAAAGAAAATAAATAGAGCACCGTATTATCCTTCAGTCATAACAATACTGGAAAGATGCCCGCACTGGTATGAAGAGGTGTGCATTACACCATTGAGTCGAGCAACAGTTTTCTTCTGTATAAATACATAGAACTCCTTTTTCTTAGTTTTCCCTTTCCTTGATTCCAAAATTAATTGCATGCATATGGTGAGCAATGGATTGTATAATGTGTTTTTCCAAAAATGCATAGCGATGTAAAAGATACTACTTATTGCTTATTAATACACACATAGCTTCTATCAGCTAGTTTCCAGAACTATGTGTAGAGTTCACCTTAATTTACTAACTGTCCACTTATTTGCTGAGCATCGATTACATGCCCTTTGGTACTGCTAAGCTGCCCCCTCAGCTGTCTGCCTGCCATTTTCTGCTGCACCAACTTGGGGTATGCAGAAACAAGGGCATGTCTGTGCCTCCTGGAGTTCTCCAGGTTGAGGGTAAGCAGCCGACAGACAGTAACAAGTACTATGATGGCTGGGCAGTGGTGGCGCACACCTTTAATCCCAGCACTCGGGAGGCAGAGGTAGGCGGATCTCTGTGAGTTCGAGGCCAGCCTGGTCTACAAGAGCTAGGTCTAGGACAGCCTCTAAAGCTACAGAGAAACCCTGTCTCGAAAAACCAAAAAAAAAAAAAAAAAAAAAAAAAAAAAAAAAAAAAAAACCAAAACCAAGTACTATGATGAAATAGAGCCATGAGATACACTGTGCTAGGGAAGTAGACAGGACGGTTCTTTGTGAAATGGTGACAGTTAAACCAAGACCTGAGTGACAGACAGAGGAAGAACATTCTGGTCTTGTATAGGTTGTGGTAGTGGCTTGATCAATGGGCTCGAGGAACAGATCAGAACAGCTGGAACAGTGGGGGAGGTAGGCGGGACACCACAGCAGCCACCTGGGTCCAGAGTGCCATGGGATTGGTCTTTGGGGTGAGTCCATCACGACATGATGGACTTTTACAGTTTTCATTTGTGAAAGTCTAAAAATACTCGCCAAACTATTACCAGAAAATACTTCTGATATGTGATACAACAGAAGAGTTTCTTCCCTCTCCCTTGACAAACCTGTAGCCCAGGCTGACCTTGATTGAACTTACTATACTGTAATCAAGGATGACCCCAAACTGATTCTCCCGCCTCTGCTTCGTAAATACTGGGATTACAGGGAATGCATCCTCACACCCCGTATATGCAGTGCTGGATATCGAACCGGGGGCTTTATGCACACCAGGCAAACATTCTACCCACTGAGCTGCATTCCCAAAGACACTTGCGTTTTCAAAACCACATCCTCTTGCTGTAACAGCAGGGCGTATTACTTCCATCCCCTTAAGAGACTTGTGACTGGGTCCTCTCAAATGCCCCATGTGGGTGGGAAGCCCCCACCTCTCATGGCCTAGGGTAAGGACTGTCACAGAGAGTGATCACACCACAGAGCTGTGGTTTAGGATGGCTGTGGCCTCAGCGTCCCACAACAGCCTGCCTTTTCTAGAGGAGGCTGCTGTGAGGTTGGGGGAAGGAACACGCCCTGGTCTCTGTCAGACCCTGTGAGTCAGTCCCTGATCCTGTACTGTGTGCATCACATCTATAATATTACCGTATGTGTAGAAGGTATGTATTGCTTTTGTAATTAGAAAACTAAGTGGATCAAATAAATTATGGGGAAACTATGCAGTGAAAATGTGGAGCCATGATAAAAGATGTCATGCTCTAGAAGCAGCACCACCCTTGCCCCAGCGACTTCAGATCTCAGCAGCAGGGACCATTTCTGCCCGCCCTTGCCTAATATGTGCTCTCGCTTGAAACTGGTGTCTGGTGTCTGTTCCGCTCCGCAGGGCCTCGCCGAGGATTATTCCGTTGTGGAACAACTGTCTCATGCTTGCTTCTCCCGAGCTGCGCCAAAGGAAGAAGAGCGAGCAAACAATTCCAAGTCTTTGAAAATGCACCCGATGGGTTTTCTTCAGGGGATTCACCTTCCTATTAGCCGTCTGTGTGTTAATAGTTGAACTAATGAGCGCTTTCAAGCACACAGACAGGTGGCAGAAGCCAGAAGCTGGGCAAGGACACGGGGGACCTGGGACAAATCGCGAGAACCGCTCCTCTGAGTGCCCCTTCCTAGAGACGCAGGAATGCCATTGCTCTAATCCTGGGTGCCCCCTTTGTCCTGTGCTCGCCAGGTTTCTGAAGCTCAGTTCTGTGCCCTGTGTGAACAGTCTTTACAGGCACCGGGTGTTAGAGCACAGGGATGACGTGCAAGGATTCTGTGGGCTGGGGTGATGCCTCCAAGGACACACCAACGCTGACTCTGATGGAGACCAGGACACATTCGTTCCCTCACGTCAGAGCGGCCTCCTCTGGAAAAGGCAAGATGTCACGGGGCACAGAGAGACCACCGCTATCCAAAACAAAGCTTCGGGCCAACCACAGCTCTGTTTTGTAAGCATTCTCTGCGGAAGTCCTTCTATCCAAGGCCCCGTAAAGTGGGGACTTCTCAAAAGGAGCGGCTTTATACCAGAATCTCGGGAGAATACGCTTCAATAGCAGTCTGATGGGATGGGAGGTGCCTTCTTTGGGGACAGCATACTGCCAGTGAATCCCCTGGGACAAGGCCTGAGACTAATAAAAATTCCATTACTTAGACCAGGGTAATGACTAAACAACAGAACTGTATTGCTCACAGCCCTGGGAGCTGGGAAGTCCATGCTCAGGATCAGGATTCAGGGCTCCTTTCTTCTATTTGTCTACACAGCCAAGGAGGTCAAGTTCCCTTTGGCCTTTTTTAAAAACAAAACAAAGATGTCGTGTGTGTCTATCCTCCAAGACAAGAACCCGCCATCTTGAGCAGTTCTTCCGCACGTCCTTGCAGAGGACCATCCTGGGCTTAACTGTTTACACCCCTCATAGAGGAGTGGGAGGGCCAAGACACCACCCCCCTCCCCCCGGCATCCACCTGCTCCCTACCACCTGTTAGGGGTGATTTTGCCCTAATTACCTGTGTTCTTGGGAAGGGACTAGGGTATATAGGCTGAGGAAGACTATGCAGCTGTGGGAAGCCCTCATCCTTGCTAGCTCAACACTTTCCAGGTGGAGCCCTTTAAGGGTGTAATACCCAGACACCTTTAAGTAACCAACCCCACACCTATGCTCTGTAAGAAAGTCCAACAAACTCATTGGTTCTCCAAGGCAAGCTTTGGCTGAACCGTGTCTCAGTTTGTTGTTGGGAACTTAGGAGGAAGGGTAGGCCTTGCTTACGTCACCCCAAACAAAGGGATCTCACCACACAGTCTTGCTATGTTCTCCAGGTTAGCCTTGTACTCCTGCCTCAGCCTGCTAGAACTGCAAGTGTATATGCATCACACAGGATCCTTGACCCTGTCATTGAACAGGTCCTTAAGGCAGCACCCTCAGCACCTGGCCACTCACCAGGGTGACAGCTCTCAAGCTACCTCACCAGGGACTAAACTACCACATTGATTTTTTTTCATGGAAGTAGGGCAATAAACACCCAGCCCACAGCAAGACAGAGAGAAAAATTGTAGGTAAGGGTTAGTTTTTGTGTTGATTTCTGTTTTTCCTTTGAGAATTCTCTAGAAAAGAAAGCCTACTGTTTGTTTTGCATTTATTTTTAAGACTCGGTCTTGGTCTTCTGTAACCCAGACTGGCCTTGAACTTCCTGTGTCGTAGAGCATGACCTTGAATTCCTGATCCTCCTGACTTTACCTCCCCAATTTGAGATTACAAGTCTGCACCACGGTGGAGTGCTTCTGCAGCGCTGGGGACAAACCCAGGACGGTGGACAGTGGGCAAACACCCTTTAACTCTGTTAGCAGCCTGGATAAGGGCACAGAGACGCTGAAAGAAGTGTGGCAATGTCCTTCAGATGCGGGGAAGGTCTCAGACAGACTTAGGGAAGTAGTCTCTGCCCCCCAGCCTCAGTGCCTGTCCTTGGCCCAGCTAGCTGCCTCTAATTAGGAGAAGTTCTAATTCGTTTGAAAATCCTTGCATGCCCGTGCCCTTAGTCCCAGCACTCAAGGAGGCAGAGGCAGGTGGATCCCTGTGAGTTGACTTCTGGTCTATGAAGCAAGTTCCGGGACAGCCAGGGACGTGCAGAGAAACCCGGTCTCGACCCCACTTCTCTGCTCAAGAAAAAAATTTATAAAAATCCTCAGAAGGCAGGAGTGGATCTGGGGAAGAGAGGAAGGGGGTGGGGATGGAAAGAGTGGAGCATAGGAAATTGTGATCAGGGTGAGGGAATGATCTATTTTCTTTTTTTATTGTTTTTATTGAGCTATGTATTTTCTCCGCTCCCCTCTTTTCCTCCCCAGTTCTCTTCCACCTTCTCCCATGATCCCCATGCTCCCAATTTATCCAGGAGATATTATCTTTTCCTACTTCCCTTGTAGATTAGATTCATTTATGTCTCTCTTAGGGTTCTCATTGTTTTCTAGGTTCTCTGGGGTTGTGAATTGTAGGCTGGTTTTTCTTTGCTTTATGTCTAAAAGCCACTAATGAGTGAGTACATATTGTATTTGCCTTTCTGGGTCTGGGTCACCTCACTCGATATGATGTTTTCTAGATCCATCCATTTGCAATCTATTTTCAGTTAAAGAAAAATTCTCAGAAGGCAAAATTCACAACCTGATCATCAGAAATTTGTGATCATTTCGGTTTCCTGAGCCAAGATGGTGAGGTTCTGGGAGGTCGATGCTTAAGAGAAACTTTACAGGTTCTCTCTGTTCAACTAAACAGTTATAGGTGCCAGGTTCTATGATGAAGACGAGAAAATGGAAGGAAGCCTGTCTCTGTTCTTGGGGAGTTTCTGGTCCGGTTGATCTTTTACAGCTGAGTTTTTCTGGAACAAAGCTTAGCCATTGCCTAGCAAAAGAAACCCACCTTTTATAGATGACTCCTGTATTGGTCACTTCAGCCATTTCTGTGACAAAATTTTTAGCCAGAACATTAATGGAGGGACGGGTTTGTTTGAGTTTGCAGGTTGAGGGTGCAGTCCATCAGGGTACAGAAGCGTAAAACAACTGGTCACTGTCTCTGGAACTCAGGAGCAGAGAGGAAGGGGAGGGAGAGAGGAAGGGGAGGGAGGGAGGAAGGGAGGGAGGGAGGGAGACAGAGAGAGAGAGAGAGAGAGAGAGAGAGAGAGAGAGAGAGAGAGAGAG